TTAAATATATATATGTCCTGAATGTATTGAGTTTAATTAATGATTTATATTTTGTAAAATTTTATAACACTAATACACACACATATACATACGTACATGTATTCTTATTTGTTATAATTTTAATACATAGACATCATTTTAATTTGAATTTTAGTTTGATTTATAATGGAGATTTATAATGAATTCGAAATCAATATGATACAGGCACTGTTAATTTAGTAATATTTTGTTTCTATAACTTTTTGCACTAATCATAATTGAATCTTGCATGTTAGGTTTTAGGCACACCTTTTTCTAGATAAGAATATGAAAGAATTTAATCCTACGTGCTTTTTAATTCTCTGGAGATCGGGGAAACGTGTTTTGGTAGGTTGTAAATTACTAATGATATTTTTAATGAATAATTAATAATAGAAGAGATGTCACCTAAGCGTGCATGCACGTTGCACATTAAGTGCATACACATATGACAATATATATATATTTTTGTTTATATAATAAATAATTATATTCAAAAGTTCTTAGAGATAATTTTATTCGATCAATTAATGTGTTAAACTTTTTTTTTCTTTTTTTTTTTGATTGTAAATTTACAAGTATGACTAACCTCAATTTAACTTATAACAATTATTAAGATAGAATAATCGATTGAAATAATGATCTAAGAACTTTTGTATTTTTTTTGCTTGCTGCACTAAAATGCATCGTCAATTATAAATAATTTCTAAATTGAAATGTATATATATAATTAGAGTTAGGATATAATTAACTAACACAATAGAAATAACAATTATTTCGATCGATGCCCTACTTGTAATAATTACAGTAGTTATTAGCACAAGTATAGTATGATAAAACACATTGCGTGTGTTTGTTATTTAACAAACCTGGAGGAAATACGAATAATATTAATTTTTGAAAAAAGAAACAAAAAAGAAATTCAATTTCTCTCAAAATGGGGACAAATTATCGAACGGTACGAATTGTCGTTGAAAAACCGCACGTTCCAATCAAAATTACTAATTGGGTCTCTCATTTGCAAGTATATAAATCACATACAAAAGATGATCCAAAATAAATTGATATTAACGAATGAAATTTTATAATAATTGTATTTTACTTTTTATTACATACAGGATGGAAATGGTGTCATCCTTTTCCAAAAATAAAAATAAAATTGATACGAAAGAAAAATGAAACAAAAAAATGGGTCTGTTAATAAATTTAATTAAGATATGAATTTTTTTATTTATTTATTAGATATATTATTTTTTTATTTATTTATTAGATATATTATTTTACGATACTTGGAACAATAATGAGAATTATAAAAATAATAATTTGGAAATATTTCT